CTATTCATCATGATCTATAGACTTCTTCTTCTTCTTCTAGTTTACTCTTTGTTTTTTCTTTCTCCCTAACACATGTATCTAATCTAATCTAATCGAATCTAATCGAATTGAATTTGCCGCGTATTCTTTCATTTCATTTCAAGTGTACGTGTGTGTGTGTGTGTGTGCGTTTGTTCAATCTTCAATGTTTTCATATTATTATTATTGTTATTTTTAGTTCAATGATTTGGAAATTAAAAAAGGATACAATAAATAATAATTATTTCAAGAGAAAAAAAAAAAATATATATATATATCAATGTTCAAAATTTAATTTATATTTTTAGACAGTAAAAATGAATTGAACATTGATTGATCAATTTATGAGTTCAATGCGATTCAATCAACAATCTTCATGTTTTTTTAATTAGTGAATTAGATTTTGTAAGTGAATTCTTAGGGTTCTAGGCAGAAATCATGAGTAGTAGAGTTCGATCAGGTTAGGTAGGGTGTGAGTTAGTCAGTTACCTACCGAAGACAATCAGTCAGTCAGTCAGTCAGTTGCAAAGTAGAACCTTGGTACGTAAGTACATCAGTTCATGTTGTCATACCACATCAGCACAGAGATATAATTGTCAATACAAATCCAATAGTAGAAGAGGTAGTAAAGGTTTTAGAAGTAATCGGAGAGGTTAGGATTAGAAGATATTATTCAAGAAGTATGATTCAATGAGAAAAGTTTAGAAAGTCAAAACTAGAGGTGTTGAAGAATCCAGAAGATTAGGATTTGACAGAACACAAAGAATAAATGCACCGGCACCATTGCAAACGATTTTGAGCCATGTCATTCAGGGTATCTAACCATCGATTATTATCATCTCGTGGACCCCAACCAGGTAGTCGACAATTACCGACATGGCTAAGTCCACTCGTCAATGACTTCATGGATTTGTCCCATGTTTTGGTTTGGCCGCCCCGTAGCTTTCTTCCAACCTACTCCTACACTACAAAACAAAGTACGTCGAGGCAGTCGGTGGTTAGGCATACACAGCACATGTCCCAACCACCTCAACTGATCAAGTTTCATCATTTCATCTACTGATCGGCCATTCTTACCTAGTACCTGTTTCCTAATAACAGCGTTGCTCACTCGTGTGTCCCACGATATATGAGCAATGCTTCGAAGACACCTATGATCGAAAACCAGTAACCTACGAATATCTTCTACTCTCACTGGCCGTGTTTCACAGCCATAAAGTGAGACGGAGCGAACCACTGCGCAGTACACTCGTCCTTTGATTAGAGAACGGATATTTTGCCTACGCCATAAGTGACGCAGGTTGGCAAACGCTAATCGAGCCTTCTGTATCCGTGCTGAGATTTCGTCAGTAACGAGGTCATCGGTACTGATGATACTCCCCAGATAAGTGAAGCGGTCTACACGTTCGACTACTTCACTCCCTATCACTAGTTCAGGTGCCGATGAAACCCAATCTTGAAGCAACATTTTGCATTTCGATGGTGAGAACCGCATCTCGAACATGCTTGCATTGTTGCTTAGGGTAGTCAGAAGACTCTGCATTTTGTCAGCGTCTCCACCAAGTAGGACAATGTCATTGGCATATTCTAAGTCAATAAGCGAGCCACCTGGTAGAAGGTCTACTCCTGAAAATTCAGACGAGGATAAGGTTATATCTAGGAGCATGTCTATGATAAAAGTAAACAAGAATGGAGTGAGTGGACATCCCTGACGGACACTACTTGAAGTAGAGAATTCCGTTGACAGTTCGCCATAAGCTCTCACTCGACCATTGGTGTTCGAGTAGAGAGCTTGTATGAGGTTAATGTACTTCTTTGGCACACCTTTCAATGACAGACACTGCCACAGAGCCTCACGATCCACTGAGTCAAATGCCGCTTTTAGGTCCAGGAAAACAACTATTGTAGGAAGCCTAAATGTGTGTCTGTGTTTCAGACAATAGATGAGGTTAGACAATAAATATTGTAGGGTGACTGAAGTTAGATAGATGCTAGCACAATTGTTGGCTAGATTCTTTTGTGCGACGTCTTGGATTCGCATAGCTGACAGATACTTTCATTTTTTCGATGAAAAACGGAACGTTTTTGATTTCTTAAATTGTTACGCCTGCACGTAAACACGTCAACTTTTGATATACTTGAACTATTACGAGTTTATCCAGTCGGAAAAATGAGAGCGAGGATTGAGGATCCGACGACAAGACATGCTACTCTAATCCGATTATCCCAACCCCTCATATTGAGTAAAAATAAGAAGACTTGAATGTGAAGTTGAACGTATATTCTACAAGCATCCAGAAAGTACGAAGTACGAATCCAGAAGAGAATCAGGATCCGCCACGGCTTCGAACTCCTTCAAGAAGCTCCTTACACCTCCGTCTTCAAACTCTCGAGGCCATGGGATCTTCATCCTGTGTAGAGGTAGCGACACCAATTGAGAAGACTGAGGCATGCGAGGAAGATTGTACTATGCTAATTTACGCTCTTAGTCAATTAAAAACGAAAACATTACATTGAATACTCAGTCTATTTGCACACCATCTTTGAGTCGTGACTTCCAACACTCCATCCTTCTTCTTCCATTCCTGTTGTTGCTTCATTTCATTCCTTCCTGTTGGTACTACTCCATTTACTTCTTGCTTTTGCTCTATTTGCTTTCCGTTTTCCTCTTCTGATCGTGCAAATTCTTCTTCTTTCATGTCCCTTCTTATACTACTACTTATATTGTTCGTATAAGTAGCACACACCACAGTTCGACTAAGGTAAACTCCTAATAGTTTTAAGCACACATAGAAATGAGTGTAACATTTTTATGTTCAATGATCAATATTAATCAAGTAGGATGACAATAAATAAATAAATATTTATATCATATTGTTTATTGAATGACATTATCAATATGTAGTTATCTCATACTTGTCATTGTTCAGTTATTAAAATACATACATCATTGCTACTGAAATAGTGTTAGTTTGTTTTAAAAAAAGACAAAACAATCAAAACAACATTGAACAATGTAAAAGAACTAGCTATATGATCAAAGTAATGATATATTAAAAAGATGCATTGATATTTCGGTAATGATATACATGTATATATATATATATATGCTGTCTATATGTGACAGTTCGTTTATTATTGTGTGAAACATGTTGTTTTGTTTTGTTACACCGATACACGTAAACATGTTGAATTGATATGCTTTTAAACAAAACTACGAGTTAAACTTAGTCGGAAAACAAGAGAGAGAGAGGACTGATGGATGATCTGGTGGAAGGACAGGCTACTCTAATCTGAGTGTCCCCAACCCCCTTATTGAGTAAAAGAAGAAGAAGACTTGATATGAATTAGATCTTGTGTTCTATAAATATCCAGAAAGTACGAGGTCACAGCCTAGAAGAGGATAAGGATCTCGGACTAGGGATCCGGGTCCTGGTCACAAAACGTTACAGATAATGCATATTTATACATTTAGGTCGAATAGGAAACAACATTTGAAGTCTGTGACATTGATAGTTAGGACGACCATAATATTAACCAGTAGGAATTGACCAATAGAATTAGACTTACGGAAATAATTCTCTTAGGATATTGAATGAATATCCTGACAGTTTTGTAGGGTTATTACACGTGAAAAATTTGATTAGTTTTCCCCGTGTTTTAATCGACTATACTCTTAGGATCATTTTGTATTTGGAAATAAAGTCGTTTTATAGTTAGCTGAACAATTGTTACTAGTTTAGAATGAATATTTTCACTAAAAATGGTTATTTACTTACTTCTTGACATAGTTCTACTTGGTGAAGACGCTAATAAAATGCAGAGTCTTCTGATCACTATAAGCAACAATGCAAACATGTTTGGGATAGGATTCTCCAAATGGAAATTCAAAATGTTGTTTCAGGATTGGGTTGCATCACAACTAGATATAGTAACAGGGAGTGAAGTATTTGAGCGTGTCGACTGCTTCACTTATCTCGGGAGTTTCATCAGTGCTGATGTCCTGGAGACTGACGAAAACTCAGCACGGATAAAGAAAGCTTGATTGGCTTTTGCCAACCTTCATCACTTAGATAACCGTTTGCTGACCAAAGGACGAGTGTACTGTGCAGCAGTTCGCTCCGTTCTATTATTCGGATGCGAAACATGGCAAGTCAGAGTCGAATATATTCGTAGGTTATTAGTATTCGATCATAAGCGTCTTCGAGGAATTGCTCGTATATCATGGGACAACCGAGTAAGCGATGCTCTCGTTAGGAAACAAGTACCACGTAGGGGTGGCTGATCAATAGATGAAGTATTGAAACTTCATCAGCTGAGATGGTTGCAATATATGTTACACATGTCCAACCACTGACTGCCTCGTCGAGCTATGTTTAACGATATAGGAATAGGTTGAAGAAAGCTAGGGGCGGCCAAACCAAAACATGGCAGAAATCCATGATGTCACTGACAAGTGGACTGAACCATTTTAGTTGGTTTAGACTACCTGGTTCGGGTCTGCGAAACAATAGTAACCGGTGGTTAGAGACTTCGGACGACATAGCTCAAAATCGTTTGCAATGGTGCAGGTGCATGCACTCTTTGTCTTCTCTCAAACTCTTATTCTCTGGAATCTTGAATAATATCTTCGAACCCTTATCTTTTCGATTACTGCTAATACTTCTACTACCTCTGCTACTACGGGATTTGAATTGACAATTGCATCTCTGTGATAACATGATATAACAACTTGAACTGATATACGTACGTACAAAGAGTTCTACATTGTAACTTACTGACTGATTGACTAACTAACCATCGTCGTGAATTCGCACTGTCACTGATGAGTAGTTAGCCCCATAATATAAAATGAAACAGCTATCTTTCAGTGTTTCCAAGTTTCTAACGGTTTGTCTAACAATGAATATATATATATATATATATATATAATCAATAGAATTGTTCTCATGAATTACTGTTCATTTTCTTCTTTTTTTTAGATTTGTGATTTTGGTTTAGCTCGTATAGCTGATCCAGAATCAGAACAGTCAGGTACATTGACAGAATATGTGGCTACACGTTGGTATCGTGCACCAGAAATAATGCTTACATCGAAATTATATACAAAAGCAATTGATATTTGGTCAATTGGTTGTATTATGGCTGAAATGCTTAGTAATCGTGTATTATTCCCTGGAAAACATTGTATCCTTTTATTGTATTGGTGAAAACTTGACCTTTAAGGCGCCTCTTCGTGACATAGTTAGGTAATGAGAGTAACTGTGTTAGCTAAATTTGGGTGGTTGGTGGAGATTGCTGTTGCAGTTGAGAATTAGATCTGTGTAGGTTAGTTTCCGAAATATTTGGGTCTCCTGATTTTCTCTGTTATTTCTGGTGATTAGTACACCTAGGAATGATAGACTGTTGTCTGATTCCTTTTCCATCATGAATTTGATGTCATCGAAGACGTTGTTGATCTGATTGTAGATGTTCTCCAGCTTGTTTCTTTTAATGATGACGAATGTATCGTCTACATAAAAAACCTACATTTTTGGCTCGATCACTGATAAAATTGACGTCTCTGAATTACAACTTCCGCGATGAGTCCTGATATTGTTGATCCTATTGGTGTTCTTTTTATTTGTTTGTAGACTCTGTTGTTGAATTGAAAATACGTTGTTAAGCATACATCGATTAGTTCTAGAAGACTTTGACTCTGAAATTTCGTATATGTTTGGAGATTTGTATCGTTACTGAGGAGCAAGAAAAGAGTTTCTTTTGCTAAGCTTGGCTATTTTGAGGTGAATAAGGCTGTTGCCTCAAATGATATCATCGTTTCCTCGTTGTCGATTTGAATCCCCTTGAGTTTATCTAAGAATTATGTGAGAGACTTATTGGAGTAGTTGGATTCATCCATCAGATGTTTCAATATCTTTAAAATTTCTCTTGATAAGTTTTATGATGGAGTTCCAGGGAGGGCTCCAATCGGGCGTAGTGGAATGTTGGTTTTGTGTAGTTTAAGCCTACCGTAGAATCTTGAAATTAATGGTTCATTGGATTTCATTCTCCATTGATCATGTTTTGATATTTGTCCTGCTTTGAAAAGCTTGTTTACAGTCCTTTATAATTGGTTGTCCAACTTTTCTATTGGGTTTGTGTCGATTAGTTTATATACGTTTCTGTTCTCAAGTAGTTCCTTGAAGGTCCGTGGATATCAAACTAATCACCCGCTCTACTACCATAACTGATTGTGAGAGTCCTTGAGGTTCATGAACTATAATATTCTGGGACCGTTTGGTGAGTATGAACTGTATGGTCTCTAGTCTGTATTATTTATGAGCGTAGGCATCCTACGAAACGTACGCCTGTGCGTTATACCAAATGATGCATGGTTAAAAATCCATGTGTTCCTAGTGTGTATGCAACGTATAACTGAACTCTAACGTATTAACACCTTGGCACTATCTGGTTCCCTAAAAAACCAGTAGATTCAAAGTAATGCATAGCCTGCTGATTAAATTACCAATTAAAAGTCACCTTTCTTTTATACACATATCAGTCTATTTTTTTCCTTAATTTATATTCTCTCTCTCTCTCTACACTCATCAAATTTCGGTTTTTTCTGTCAATTAAAACAACAATAGATATTGATCAATTGAATTTAATTTTACAAGTTTTAGGTTCACCAACAAAAGAGGATTTTGAAACAATTGTTAATCTAAAAGTGAGTTATAAATTAATTTTTTCTAAAAAAAAATTTAGCTAACATTATCATTATAATGTGTAACTATGATATGCTCATCGATTGATATGCTTAAATGCTATTACGAGTTCATCTTAGTGTCGGTAAACGAGAGCGAAGACAAATGATCCAGGGGCATGACAAGCTATTCTAATACGAGCGTCCCAAGGCTTCACTAAGTAAAGGAGGAAGTCTTGGTATGACGTAGAAAGTGTATTCTACAAGCACCCAGAAAATATAAGGTTGACAAGTACACAAATTGAGTTTATTTATACATGATAGAAACGTCCTTGGTGAGAGCTATAAAAATAGCGTGCTAAAATAACACATCAACCAATAACAGTCATGGATTTGACCAGTGGGAAATGTAATCTCAAGGTCAACTGATCAGCCCATGCGCGAAAGCATAAAATCGAAAATTATCACCTTTATCAAGTGAGTTCTGGGGATCTAACGTCCCCGACGAACTAATAACAACTTCATGTTTGTGTTGATGATTATGATTTTGGAGTGATTTGATCGATATTATTTTCTAGGTTGGTCGATCAAAATTTCATACTCCGTGTCTGTTATTCCTTTTCATAGCCTAAAAACGACTAACCTTGCGCTTGACACGTTCTAAGTGATATAATTAACCTTGAAGTGTACTCGTCTTATTGGTCAGAAGTAATTGTATTCCATATACGACTTAGTAATACCTAGAAATATATGATTCACACTCTAGATGTTACAAACGAACCAGTACTGACTTCAGGATTAAATTTCACTGGTCACATCTTAGCACTAGAACTTCGAGAATTTCCTCTCATAACTAGTCACTACTGACCACATTTAGGTTCAACACAGATTACTGACTACCACAAGAATAGAATTATACTCTAACAATTCCTTGTTTATAGCACATTACTAAACAAGTGCGATTCAGTAAACCGATTCAATGACACTCCAATTTAGTTTCATACGTTTGAAGACGATATTTACTTACTTACTTACTTGCTCACTTACCTGTTACCCCCCCCCAATCGAACACAGGCCGCCAACCAACATTCTCTAACCTACTTTATTGTTGGACATCTTTCCTAATTCTGTCCAATTGTTGTTCATTCTTTTCATGTCTGTCTCCATTTCTCGAAGTAATGCGTACAAACTAAGTGAAGCGAAATGTAGAAGGCAAGCAAGTCAACTCCATGTTGCTTCGCTTTACTTTCATGCAGTGCATTCTGTTGAGGATGTTAGATCTCCAGAACTCGCTTGATAAATGCCTTATTTTGTATTTCACGTTTCCGAGCATGGACTGATCAGTCGACCTTGAGACTTCATTTCCAACCAAGGGAAATCCATGGCTGTGACTGGCTGCTGTGTTATTTTAGTGTGCTATTTTTGTGACTGTCCCAAGGAAGTTTCTATGATGTATAAAATAAACGAGAGTTGTGTCCTTGATTGCATTGTTTGCTGTCTGGGTGTTTGTAGAATATACTTTTTACGCTATATCAAGAGTTCTGTTTTACAGTTTGGGATTCAAGGTAGCCTACCTGAACGCTGGTTCATTGTCTCATTCTCGTTTATCGACTAAGGTGGACCCGTAATAGCTTCAAGCGTACACCTAGTGACGAACTTAACACATTCTCATGTCTGTCTCCGTGAACGATTGTATGAAATAGTTTCATCCAATTGCATCTCTATTTAGCTCCTTACTATTACCATCGCACAAACGGGATTCGCCTAAGTACAGTTTACGTAAGCTAAAGGTAAGGTTTATATGTCATCACACACTTGATCGTTCAACTAAACTAGATTCAGACTACTAGGGTTAGATTCAAGCAGCTAAAGTGGTTAGTCCTACTTTGAATTAAGCGTAGGCCAAAAAAAACTTTGAAAAGAAATTAATTACCATTTACTTTATATAATTTCAGGCTCGTGCCTATTTAGAATCATTGCCACATCGTACAAAAGTACCATGGAAACAATTATATCCATATGCTAGTGAATCAGGTAAGATCATTGTTCATTTGTTTCTTTTTGGGGGGTTTTGTAATGATTAGTTAAATTTGAAAGTTGATTGTGAAGATTGTTAAGTTTTGTTGAAATCATGAATTGGTTTCAGGAGTCAGTGATTTCATACATTTGTGTCCATGTTCTGGTTTGGCTATACCTAGATTTCTTCCAGCCAATTATCCCTAAATCATACAATATGGCTCGTCAAGGTAGTCGGTGGTTGGGCATTCGCAGCCTATGCCTCAACCACTTCAACACATGAAGATTCACTAATTCACCAATTGGTCTGTCATCCTTACCTGGTATCCTTTTACTAAATAATCCCAGCAACGCTTAATCGATGGCGGGGGTTCTGGAATATTCGAGAAATGTTTCTACAACACCTTTGATCTCATTAAATGAGTTGTTGAGTGTGGGCTATCGATCCAGGGGGAGTAGAAAAACTCTTATTTTAAGCCAATAAGTGGACATGGTCTCCACCAGCTTACGATCGTGCTGTTGGTGACCATCTACTCTGTGAATTAGGTCTGTGGGTCAAACTCTCAGAGAGGAAAAGAGTGATCTTTCAATCAAATTACTTGATTCAGTTTGGACAATCGAACAGTTATCCTAATTACTTACATACTTATGCCTGTCACCCTCAATGGAGCGTAGGCCACCTACCAGTCTTCTCTAACCTACTCTGTTAGGGGCCTTCATTTCCAGCTGTTTCCGATTTCTGTTCTGTTCTCATACCTTTCTCTATTTCTCGGCATAATGTGTTCCTTGGCTTTCCTCTTTTCCTTTATCCTTGAGGGTTTCATGTGAGGGCTTGTCTTGTGACGCAGTTAGGTGCTTTTCGTAGTGTGTGTCCTATCCACTTCCACCGCTTCTTTCTGATTTCCTCCTCCACTGGAGTCCGGTTTGTCCTGTCTCACAGTACGTTGTTGCTGATAGTGTCTGGCCAGAGAATCTGAAGTATTTTGGATAGACAGCTGTTAATAAACACTTGTATCTTCTGGATGATGGCTTTGGTAGTTCTCCGAGTTTCCGCTCCATACTGTAGAACTGTCTTGACATTTGTATTGAAAATCCTGATTTTGGTTTTGGTTGATATGTGTTTGGAGTTCCAGATATTTTTCAATTCTAGAAATGCAGCCCTTGTTTTGCCGATCCGCGCCCTCACATCTGCATCGTCAGATCCACCCTGGTTGTCGATGATGCTGCTCAGATATGTAAAGATGTTAACGTCCTTCAAAGGCATCTCCATCAAGCATGAATTGTATCTTCTGGATGATGGCTTTCATAATTCTCCGAATTTCCGTTGGCTTATATGGCGCATAAATATATATGGGTGACCTTTTTGTCTCATTGTTTAATTATCCCTCTTTAATAACAATTATTATTATTATTATTATTATTATTATTATTATTATTATTATTATTATTATAGCACTAGATTTACTGGACAAATTATTGTGTTTCGTACCATCACGACGTATAACAGTAGAAGATGCTTTAGCTCATACATATTTAGAACAATACTATGATCCAACAGATGAGGTAAGTGTCTCTGATAATTTCTACGTTTTCGCAATGTCGCATACATTAATCGTTCATAATATTTACTTTATTGTTGGGTAAAGTTAGATCCCCCAGAACTCGCTTGATAAATAATGTCTTCATTTTGGATTTTGTATTTCCGAGCATGATCAGTTGATCAGTTGACCTTGAGATCATATGTCCCACCAAGAAAATCCTTGGCTGTGATTGGTTGTTTTTGTGGCTCTCCCAGGTACGTCTCTGTGATGTATAAATAAAGGCGATATGTGTGTTTGAGATCATTGTGCTTGCTGGGTGTTTGTAGAATACACTTTCTACGCAATATCAAGACTTTTTGGTTAGTTCGTTTGTGGTCAACGGATCAGAGTAGCCTACCGGGCCACGTGTTCATTGTCAATCAATCATGTTTTCTATTCCAGTATCCATCAACACACACACACACTCTGATGTACAGAGAATATTTCACCGAACGCTGTTAATTATTCGTGCACAAACAAATACAAATCGAAACATTCAGTCTACTGTAATCATTTAAAAACGAACTAACTAACTAACTAACTTACTTACTTACTTACTTACTTACTTACTTATGCCTGTTATCATCCTCGTCTGAATTTTCAGGAGTAGACCTTCTACCAGGTGGCTCGCTTATTGACTTAGAATATACCGATGACATGGTCCTACTTGATGAATATGCTGACAAAATGCAGTCTTCTGACCACCCCAAGCAACAATGCAAGCATGTTCGGGATGCGGTTCTCACCCTCGAAATGCAAAATGTTGCTTCAAGATTGGGTTGCATCGGCACCTGAACTCGTGATAGGGAGTGAAGTAGTCGAACGTGTAGACCGCTTCACTTATCTTGAGGGTATCATCAGTGCTGATGGCCTGGTGATTAACGAAATCTCAGCTCGTATACAGAAAGCTCGATTGGCTTTTGCCAACCTGCGTCATTTATGGCGTAGGCGAGATATCCGTTTGCTGACTAAAGGACGAGTGTACTGTGCAGTAGTTCGCTCCGTCTTACTTTTTGGTTGTGAAACATGGCCAGTGAGAGTAGAAGATATTCGTAGGTTATTGGTTTTCGATCATACGTGTCTTCGAAGCAGTGATCGTACATCCTGGGACACCCGAGTGAGCAACGCTGTTATTAGGAAACGGCTGCTAGGTAAGAATGGCAGATCAATCGATGAAGTAGTGAAACTTGATCAGTTGAGGTGGTTGGGACATGTGTTGCGTATGCCTAACCACCGACTGCCTCGTCGAGCTATGTTTTGTGGTGTAGTAGTAGGTTGGGTGAAAGCTAGGGTTGGCCAAACCAAAACATGGCAGAAATCCATGAAGTCACTGACAAGTGTACTGAGTCATGTCGGTAGTTGTCGACTACCTGGTTTGGGTCCACGAGATGATAATAATCGATGGTTCGATACCCTGAATGACATGGCTCAAAATCGTTTGTAATGGCGCCGGTGCCTTTATTCTTTGTGTTCTCTCAAATCCTAATCTTCTGGATTCTTCAACACTTCTAGTTTTGACTTTCTAAACTTATCTCATTGAATCATACTCCTTGAATAATATCTTCTAATCCTAACCTCTCCGATTTCTTCTAAAACCTTTACTACCTCTTCTACTTTTGGATTTGAATTGACAATTATATCTCTGTGCTGATGTGTGGTATGGCGACATGAACTGATGTACTTACGTACGAAGTTCTACGTTGCATGTGACTGACTGACTGATGCCTGTTAGCCCTTATGTGAAGTTTAGGCCTTCGACTAACATTCTCCAACATATTCTGACCTGGGCTTGTGGCCCTTCTAGGGCTACTGCCTATTCCAAGCCTGGTTAAAATAGGAAGGTTGGGTTGTGGGATTAGCTACTCCATCCCAAACAGAAGACGTTTAAAAAAATCACAATCAATTTTGGAGAAGAAAAAAACAAGAAACATGCTTTATTTGTTGCTGAGTCGAATGTTTTGATTCTGGAATTAGAGTTATGGAAATTGTTGTTGATTATTGAAAATGGTGAATCAATCATTGTTAGACTATCACCATTAGAAACCTTCAATCACCGGACGTCGATTTTGTCCTGGTATGGGACTCATCAGCAGCAGTGCGCATCCACCACTACTGATAATCACAGGTTCGAACTACGGACCTTTAGAGTTCAACCCTGTCGGGTGTAGGTAGTAACTACCAAAGGACGATAGGTGCGGTCGCTCAAAATACCTAGATTGACAGCAGTTATACAATAACACCGTAAGGATGCCGGCTCAGTGGTCCAGAGGTTAGGCGTTCATGTGTAAGACCAAATATCCTGGGTTCGAATCCTGTGAGTAGCGGGATTCTTTGATGCGTACATCTGATGAGTCATATACCAGGATGACACGACTGTCTTTGAGTGCTTCCAGACTTTTAATAGTGATCTAACAATGATTGATTGATGATTTCAGTAGTAAGCAAATGTTCATATCTTGTTATCAGTGCATCAATATCACTGGAAATATTGTTACATTTGGTACTATTGTAGTGAAGGAGAACACAGGTGAGGGCAACCGAATTGTATTTAACGAAAATTACAGAGTTACTCAGTAAAATCGGAAAACCATATCGTTAATCGTTAATTTGCAAAATATCAATCCATCATATCGAACTGGACTGTTCCTGTTGCAAAACATCAATCCATTGTCACTATTCATGCGTTTCATACAAATTCCATTGTGTTCTAACTCTTCTTCCTTTCTTGATCTTCCCCCGTCTTCTGCTGCTGCCAGACATTACGTTTACACTCGCGTCATATACTACTTATAAGTAGCTCACACCATACTATGGTTTTTATTTATTCCAAACTTGTGTTTCTACATAATCATGTTTATTATTGTTAAATCATTTCCTAACGACATTAGATAAGGATCCAACAGACTGTTTGTGTGTGTTATCACACTTTGTCTGGTGTAGGAGGAGACTAAGGGCGGTCAAAACAAAAAATATGGTCGCAGTCGATGAAGTCATTCGCAATTCAACTGAATCACTTAATTACGTACAGAGTACTTGATTAGGGTTAGAAACTTTGAATAATATGGCTGAAAATTGTTTGTCACACAGCAGTTTCATCGGTTCTGTTTCTTTCTGATTTAATCAGAAAAAAATTAATTTCATTGATGTGAATTTTCTCAATTCTTCGATTCTTAATCTTTTCAATTGAAACTAACATGGTTACCATCACTACTAATCTAGGATTTCATCTGACCACATCTGTTTATGCTAATGGACTGTGTCAATTTGAACTGATATGCATACACACCAAGCTTTACAATGCAAATAAATAATTGACCAGAATTCTCTAGCCCACTCTGTCATCGAACTTCCTTCTACTCACTCGCTGTTCATTCTTTTTGATATCTGCTCCCCATTTTCGACGCAATGTTTGGCCAACGCGTGAGGAGTATCTTACATAGACATACAACTGTTAATAAACACTTGTATCTTGTGGATGATGGAACAGTGAAGTAGGGATGGTGACTATACCAACTTCATATGATAAGACGTGACTAATTATTTCAATAGCTGGACACAATTAAACTTAAGTCATTTAATGAATAGAGTATGGGAAACACATACATACACTCAAGTAAAAATAGTCAAGAATATACAAGAACACTTGAAACGACCATATCATGTGTGGATGATGACTTGAGTGGTCTATCCAAAAAGTAGAATATTACGCAAGTCAATTCTACTGTGTATGAGGCGGAAACTTGGAGTAATATTGTAGCCTTCATCCAGAAGATACAAGTGTTTATTAACAGATGCCTATGAAAAATACTTTGGATCCGTTGACCAAACATTATCAGATCAACAACAACAACCTACTGTGGAGAGAACAAATCAGATTATAGCAGAGGAAGAAATCAGAAAGAACAGGTAGAAGTGGATAGGACACACATTGGAGAAAGCACCCAAATGCGTCAGAAGACAAGCCCTCATTTTTGGAAATCTCAAGGCCAATGAACGGATTATGCTGAGATATGGAAACAGTCATGAGAAGAATGAACAAAAATTAGACCGAATTGGAAATGAAGGCCCAAAACAGTGTAGGTTGGAGAGTACTGGTTGGTGGCCTACTCTCCATTCGGGGTAGCAGGTGAAAGTAAGTAAGGGAAAAAAATATGTCCGATAGATGGTATGACTTCTGTATATCGAGATGACCATAATAAGATTTTTATCATATTAAAGCCATCTTTGTAACTCTGTGTTCACTTCATTATTAACTTGTTTCTAAGTGGAGATAACACCTATAAGCGGAGTTACAAGTTTGACTTACAGATTAGTTTCTTAACAAATTGGTATCAATTCATGAATGACTGAAAGCATGGAAGCACTTTATGTCAGTTTACTTCAGTTACAGTGCGTATGCCTAACCACTAACTGCCTCGTCGAGCTATCTTTCGCGATGTAGGAATAGGTTGGAAGAAAGTTATGGGCGGCCAGACAAAAACATGGCACCAATCCATGAAGTCATTGACAAGTGGACTGAGTCATGTTGGTAGATGTAGGCTACCTGGTTGGGCTTCGCGAGATGATAGCAGTCGATGAATAGAGACCCTCAATGACATGGCTCGAAACCGTTTGCAATAGTGCAAGTGCATTCATTCTTTGCGTTCCGCCAAATCCTAATCCTTTGGATTCTTCAGCATGATTATCTTGAATAGTATCATCGAAACCTAAAATTTCCGACTACTGTTAATACTTTTACTACATCTACTATTATGGGATTTGGATTGACAATTGCATCCCTCTGTCTGCTACTGTGGTATTACAACTTGAACTGATGTACTTACGTACGAAGTTCTCTGTTGCTGCTGACTGACAGACATTTACAATGCTTTGCACTGTGTACACCTTCAATCTGCCCTGAGAATGAAAATCAGAGTTTATCGATTTGTCAGTTAGCAATAAATCTCTATATCACTGAACTAAGTTCCAATAGTTGGTGTTTTC